ACTATTCATTAAGGCAGCCATGTACTTTTTTTTTTTAGTCTTTGGTGCAAATCATTAAACGACCACATTTTAAATACAACTTACTTACAAAGAAGCAGTTGTTGTTTTTTAAGGTGTGTGTGTGTGTGTGTGTGTGTGTGTGTTTATGCCTGAATAAAGGATACATATGCTTAAATGAATAGCAGAAAGGTTGCATGCTTACCTAAGGTCCAAAGCATTTCTTCCAATCATGTTTATTCATGCACAGCCCTAAAAATTATTGTGTCTATAGTATAATTTGGTGGATCTAATATAAGATGTAATTTGTGGATCTTATCCAAGGCTGTGCCAGAGGAATGAAGTGGCTTTGGATCCATGACCACCTCCAATGTACACAAGGAATGTCCTGTTCCCCTTCTGCTCTGAAGAACAGCATCAGGACTTTCCACAGCCCATACCAAGCATTCCAGCAGTTGGTAGCAAAAACCAGTGTAGTGTAAAGTTTAGAAGTGAGGGGGTCATGTTGCTTCAATCAAGCCTTTATCAAAAGCAAACTCCCTCTATGAAGATCTACAGTACCTAGACATACCTAATGAGTCTGACAAATATTAGGTTTATAATGTCTTCATGCATTTCTTAATATTCACATCTAGAAGTAAGAAAATAGATCAGATATCATAAGACCCAAAGAACATGAGAATATGCCTGCTGGAGCCAATCTAGCTATCTCACATGGAGACATCTAAGAAATCAAAGCAGCCCTCCTCTCCCATTGTGGCTTCCTTGTACCTAGTATATAGAACTGGACTGCCTCCATGCCTCTAGAAACCCTTGTTAGATGTGCCTTCTAGAAATTTGTCTAGTCTCCTTTCAAAGCCAGCTAAACTGATGGACAACACCAGTTCTTGGGGCAATATATTCTACAGGTTGATTATATGCTATACGTAAAAGTAGTTCCTCTTATCTGTTTTAAATCTTCTGTTAGTTTCATTGGATTGCTATTAGTTCTAGTATTATGGGAGATGGTGTCAGCCAATGAGAGAATGAAACTACTGGAAACTGGAACAATAGTTTTAGGAGACAAGCAGGCTGTAGCTTGAGCTAAGGCTAAGCAGAACTCAGGTGCTGGCTTTTAAAACACACCAAACAAAAACAGGTTCAACATTTTTTCCCCCCTATTTTAAGTTCTGAAAGGCACAGAAGTTCTGCCAGGCAAAATGAGGAAGGAAGGAAGCTTATGATACTGTATCCATTAACCGCTTCTTTCCCATCCTCTCTTCTTTCTTCCTCAGCTATGTTTTTCCCGTCAGCTCAACGTGTGAAGAGATCCTCAGCAGCTCTTCTTAACCCGGTGCTTCAGAAGTCTCAGGATGATGTGGATCTTCTATTTGAGGTTTAGTATGAGCAAAAGTACACTTCCAAATCCAGCCCTTTTGGGGAAGGGACCATTGAGCAATGGCTCAAGAAGATGACACAACTTCATGGCAACAAAAAATGGGAAAGATCACAAATGTTGCCACCTTGTGGAGTTACTGTGCAGGTTTCTGATGTCATTCTAAAAAAATGTCTGCCAGTTTCAGAGATGTGAGATGTTTGAGCTCATCTGAAGCAAAATCTTCACTCCCCTCTTTATCTTGATTCCAATGTACTTTAAAAAAAATTAAAATTAAAATTAATCAATAAATTAGATGTGTGCCTTGCCCATCAGTTACATTATCAGGGTGACTTATAAAAAAAATAATGAACCATATCCTGCAATAAGAAAATCTGAATTCTGCATTCTGTGTATACTAAGCAAAGCAAGAAAGTTACACAATTCCCTTTGTTAAGTATAATCTATTCTGCTATTTTACTTATTTAGCTCATTAGTTAGGTCATACCTTTCTAGAACAATGTACATGTACCATACAGCATAAATGAACTATTTTTAATAGAACACAATCCAAACAATACATACTGAAACAGATGAACATGAAAATTGCTTGGAACAAGAAAATAAAGACAGAAAAATACATAGTTCTTGGGAAAATTCACTTTCCCCCATAATTTATTCTGCTTCTGTAAGCTTTTGGGAGTGCCATATAGCTACCTAAGACATTGAAGTCCTGCCCTCTAACAAGTGAAATTCCCATTCTGCAGTGTTGGAAAAGACTCTAGAAATCCATTACCAGAGTAGTTAGTATAGATAGATTTGATTCAACAGAAAGCAGCTTTCTAAATAGGTAGGCTCCAACTCTAATCCATGACATCTAATCTAAATGAACATCTTATCCATTTCTATGTACATATGTTTTCTTCCTTGGAAAAAGCATTACATCTGATGACTCTTCCAGGGTTCTCCAAAGTGGTCAGTATCAACCCCCAAGGGTCAATGGGACTATCCAAGGGGTCGTGGTTGTTGCTTGTAGTACTATTAGTTAAAGTAGCATTTATTAAATTATTTTCATATAATAATGTTTGGGTGTCGATGAACAATCTGAAACTTCATAAAGGGGTCAATGAGCTGTAGAGTGTGGGGACCCCTGCTCTATACAATCCAGACAGCATTTTATCACCTCATCTATTAATTATAAGCACAAAACCAGAATCGGTTTAAAGCTTTTTTTCTGTGCTTTTATCCCAGTTTCTTCTAGGTGAGCTGGAAATTAGTGATGACCTAAAAATCACTGTCAAAGATGAGGAACTTGCTTCAACCAGGAAGGCAATGATGTTTGACATTCTGTGTAATGATGTTATTCCAAAAAATATTACAGAAATACGCAGATTAAGCTCCAGGCTGTCAGGCTACCCTGGGATGCTAAAGAAGGAAGATTTTGAAAGGACAGTGTTGACAATGGTCTACACAGCATACAGGACAGCTCAGTCCCAAGGACATCAGAAAGACACCTGGGCAGAATCCTTTGTAAATCTTTACAAGCTTCTGATGCATGACTTGAAGTTGTCATCCAGCCAAGCTCCAACATCTCAGAGAACGTGATGCACCAGGAACTTACTTTGATTATACCAAGAATATCTGCTTCTTCATTTTGATAAGTAATAAAAGAAACAAACTTTAGAACTGCAGGCTTGAACATATTCCTTATTCTCTAGCTCCTCCTAGAGGGAATCTGTTGTAAAATCTTCTGTATTGTATTACAGATTGTATTAATTCCTACTCTAGAAGTTTTCCAAATTATCTGGTCTTGTTTTTGAAGTGTAACCAATGGATTAAGAATCCTCTCTTGTTGTGTTTTTATTTCATTTCCATCATTATCTTCCTTGTGTTTGTATAGATTATAGCTCACACAGACTTTGCCCAGCCTTTAATTGAAACAGTTAAGCTCAGCAAAGCTCTGCTCATCCTTGTTTGGGAATTAACCAAGTTTTCCAGGGTATGGGGGAATCAGAAAACTTTCATTTTTTCTGATCTCTTCTAAAAGATCAGGGAGAAAAAAATGCTGATCTCAATCGTTTTGGAAACTCCATCCTGCTATTTCCCTCAAATTCATTTTCTCCCTTTTTCTGTCAAGAAGTGTTGATAGGAGATGAAACAATGGCTTCAGTTCAGAGAAAGGAAAGGACTAGATTCTCTTCCTCTCTGAGCTTCTTTTCTTGTAGCTGATACATTAATAGCACAGTGGAAACAAAGCTCAAGGGAACATAAAAAAAGGTGTTTCTTCTGAAGCTTACGGCCACTGCACTGGGGAATCTGGATGTTTACTGTATAACGGTATTCTGATTAAGCTATTATTATTTCAGGTTCACTTAGAAAGAACTTCATCTGTTTCCACATTTCTACAGTGAAGTGCTGGGTGTTTTTTCTCTGGGGGAATACAATAAAGAATACACTGAAGAAGAATCATGCTATAGAATTGCAAAGTAGATTACTGTTACTTCCAGTCCAAATGCTCTACCTCTACGTCTGTGAAAATGCATGCAGAGCAGGATAGCTGTTTAGATACAAATACATCAAAGGTAAAAGGCCTTGCTGAGAGCTTGCCTGATTGATCCCAGCCTTGCAGAAAGATTCTGCTAATTTAAAATCAAGTCCAATTAGATTCTAGGGGTCTTACTTCCAACTAAGTTACACACAGGTTTGCAACCTCAATTAAACTGTGTTAGTTCGTGATTCGATTTTCTCTGAACTGAAATTTGCAATCTCAAATGGGAAAAAAATATCCTTCCAGACTGATAACCTGATATATTCAAGTATTTTCTTTTAGTGTAACCTGTTTGGGAGATCACGACATAAATACTTTTACAATTAAAAAAAAACAAAACTGAGTTGTACTTCACAGTGATTCAAGATCAGAGATACTATTAAAGAAAAAAAAAACCACCTTCACAATTGGGACTTTTCTAAGCAATTTTTAAGGCTAATCCTATCATTAGGCAGGTGCTGAGGGAGGAAGTGCCAACAAGGACAAGGCCACCTGTATCTTGCACTTTTTAATCTCTCATGTGCCATAGGAACATTATCCAGTTATCAATGTTGACTTAAGATTGAATTCTTAGTCATGTGGAAGCCAAACAATAAAATAACTTGGGACAGCCCTAGTTTTCCACATGTAGTGGAGAGTCAGCTTTTATTTTCTAAAAAAATTTGGAAGTTCTAGAGCTAATATTTATAAGTATTTCCAAAACAATGCATCAAGCTGAGCCAGTGTCTTGGTACGGTCTCAAGCCTAGCATTGACGCTATGTGGGCTCAGACATCTGCAAAACAATGGTAGATCAAAGTCTCCACTGGCTGTGAAATGACACTCTTCCTCCTCTTTGAGTCTTGTGATTGAATAAGGCATGGCTTGGGTCAGATTCCTGATGAGCTCCCTGCATGGCTAATAGATTAGTCTGGGGTTTTATCAGGTCAGTCAAAGAACCAACAAATGGCAGTTGATCGTGCTTGGTTGACAAGGAAAAAACGAAAATCAAGCTGTACTGCTACTGGGCCAAAATCACTGTGAGATGACAAAGGTGAAAATCCTTGGGAACAGGAGGTATCTTCCCCCATTGTGCAGCTATTTAAGGTAGAAAGCTTCACTTGGGTTGTTATGATCCATCAAGACAACCCTGATTCCTGGTGACTACAGAAACAAGCTTGAAGTTTCTTGGTAATATTTTCAAAAGCAGCTTGCCAGTACCTTCTTCCTAGGGCTGAGAGCAAGTGACTAGCCGAAAGTTACCCAGTTAGCTTCCATGTTAAAGGCAAGAGAAGGGTCATAGTTTTCTGGCTTCTAATCAAAAGCCTTCCTCACTAGGCCCAACTGTCTGACTTGGATCAAATGGCCTTAAATTGGTTTTTCTTAGGATAGCCATTTACAAAGCTCTGCAGGAAGAGAAAAATAACGACAAGGATCAGAGCAGGAAGAGGAAAGAGGCTACATGAGACACGTTTAGTGTGACACCCCTATTTTCATTAATGTTCTTTATAACTATAAGAATATTCTTCCATTGCTGTGAGCTGTTATTACTGAACCTCAACCACTAGTTAACTGGCATTTACCAAAGGCAGTGTCACCAAACCATATATACTGACTAAGTCTTGGAAAGCTATATGATGTTCTATCACGGAAGTAAAGTTATCTGCTCATACATGCACATTGTTTCAGGAATTTGTCTAATAATATGAAGTAAGAGAAAGCCTCAGTGGCAGAGTCTTTGTGCATTGGCAGTTTTATAGAGGAATTACCTCAGCGTTCTCCAATTTATCCTGGAGGTGAAGGTGAAGTGGAGATGCTTCAAAGTTTATGAGCCAGCCTCTCTGACAAGACATTGTCAACTATGGGCACTAGTCAGAGTAGGGAAAGGTGGAGAGGGAGTTACCTAATTTTCTTTGTGGATGAAAGAAAGCTAAAAAGAGTCCTTTCTGGAGAACTGGGAGTGATGGTGTCAGAGACAAAGGCTTAGAAAAGTTGTATAGGGATCTCTCCCTTCTCATTTTCCCAGGAGGATCTACTCAAGCTAAATGAGAGGACAATTCAATACTTGATCTTGTTCGTTCATGCTGTCAAGAAGGATCAGAGGATATTTATAATTTCTAGCATACCTCCACTTACTGAAATGCTCCAATCAAGAATATTATAGTATTGAAGGGGACAAAGTTCCTTAACCAGCCCCATCTTCCCGTTCAAGACCAACTTCCAAACGACATAAAGAAAGGTGACAGTATGCCCAGATATACACATTATAATTGTTAATTAATAAGGTAATTGTAACCTGTCTTACATGAAATCTGCATCTGCATAACCAGCCTGTCTTCTCCTCCCTTTTCCCCCTGCAGTCTCACTCCTATTTAAGTCCTACATCCATCCACCTCCCCTATGCATCTAATGAAGCAAACTGCAACTCACATAAGCTTATACTTTTTAATAAAATGTGTTAGTCAGGAAAGGTGCTACCAGATCATGATCCATAATTAGAGACACAGTGTTGAGGCTAGTAGTACATTACATAACTGAGTTTTACTGATGAGAAGCCAGGAAAGTTGGAACAAAAACTTTATCTATAAAACTAGGTTGGACCATAGTCATTGCTAAAGCAACTTTTTTCTTGTTGGACAGCTCTTCTGTTACCCTGAATGTATGGTGACCCCACAGAAAAGCAGGTTAAGCTTTACTCAGAGATGTAGGCCATGAAATCTACTAAGTACACTCAGCCATCATTGTTGGGACAAGCTAACTACCAGCCAATAACCTCAAAGTTTCCTTCCTTCCTTCCTTCCTTCCTTCCTTCCTTCCTTCCTTCCTTCCTTCCTTCCTTCCTTCCTTTTGTTTTCTCTTTTTAGAAATCTTCCTTTACTCAAGGAGATTTTAAGGAACTGGGGACCCCAATCTAAACTTTCAAGAAAAGAAGCCAACCCATAAAAAGTTTCTGCCATGTTTCAGTTGAGGAGCAATGAATGAAGTTTGCTTGTGTTTTTAATTATTTTCTCACATTCATGCAAGGAAGCTAATATTTGAGAAACCAAATATTGTCCAAAGAGAATATATTTATGAAAGTTGATTGTGTAAAATAATGTATTAGGGAAATTTGGATGCAATACTACATATGTTAGGGGAAACTGTCTAAAATCATACATATTATTCAAGCTAAGGAAGGGTGTGAATAATAAATGGATGTTTTAATCCAACAACCATTAGTGCATACCCTTGAGCTTTACTCACTTGCATGATTTCTGTTTTTTTCACTACTTATCTTTATGGTAAGTATTCAATTTTGCCTCCATTTCCAAATTAGTAGCCATATCCTATAGCTATATAGCTAGCAATGCTATAACATCTGTGAATTCCAGATCCATAAGCCTACAGTGATTTTTCCAAAGGATGCCTAAATTTCTTCTTACCATAGCTTTCCACCTTATGAAGTCCATAGGTAGAAGGAACAGGAGTGGTGAAAGAATGCAGCCTTGCCATACTCCAGGGCTGATGGTGAAGAAATCTGTGATACCATGATCAGTTTTCATGCAGCAGCTGAAGTTTAGGAACAGATTTGGAAAAATATTAACAAAGCATTGGGGGATGCCATGATCAGTGAGTGTGCAACAATGAATGTGTAAAAAAAAAAAAATGATAGGAGGGAATAAGATTCTGAAAAATTCTGACACCGACCAGAGTTAGACTGATCTGTGGATCCATTCTCCGGCTCTACTGCTGTTTTCTACATGACACTGGAAGCTAACAAGCATGCACACACTGCAATCTTGGCTTTGATTATGTATAATTTTTTAATTGAGTTTTAGGCTAACCTTGTGCAGTTTGAACATAGTGGCAACCATCTTGCATTTGCCTGTCACAGGTAAGGGTCTGTTTTCTGAAAATCTAAAATGGTGGTTACTTTGGAGGTTAGATAATATATATGTCCTGAGAAGAGACAATTAGATGATAGCACATATCCACTAGTCCATCGAGAGTTTAGACTTATCATGTCAACTGAACACAGCCTGTGAATCTTTCATAAGAGAGCCTTTAGCAAGACCTCAGCTAAACTTTAAGTCACATTTCACAGCACTATGAGACTTCTCCCACAGTCAAAATGAAGTGTTGTTGATTTAACACTGAGCCTTGGGTTGCTCTCTGAATAATACATATACAAACAAAGCATAAAATACTGTTCAACTCCCCGTAGAGCAATGAACTTAGAAATAACTCTTTACAGTCCAGAACTTCCAGCTTGTAAAATAAAGTCTTTCCATCTTTGTGGTTTTCATCCACCTCTTTTATTATGGATAACGTCAGAAGCTGCAAAATATAACTATGACATCCCAATCATTCTATTTTATTTAGTAAAGAATTTCATAATGAAGAAATAAAGCAGCCATGTTCCAAGATATATTTGGATTAGAGGTTCATTTTATTACAGGAAATATATAAAAGGACTAGCAAATGGTGGGCGAGAGGGAGAGAGAAGGGAGGAATTAGCTTAATTGTAAGCCTTTACATCAGAATCAAAACTGGTTGTGCCAAGCTCAGCCACAGCACACATCAGCCATGCTGAAGATTTTTTTTTTTTTAACAATGCAGATTAAAGTCAAACACAGCAGATAAAGACAATTACAAAAACTTTGATTAAACTTAAATGTGGCAGTGAAAGAGTGAAGAGTATGATAGCTAGGGGAAAAACTCTGTGATGTCCCTCCCTAAACACATGTTTATTTTGCTTAATGGTTAATTCAGGGCTGCTTCGTTACATAATGTTTTTCCCTTAGCACGTTGTAGAAATCCAACCCAATGAAAGAGGCCATATTTTCTTTTGAGCCACAATAATATTCATGAGTCAGATTCTGTTACCTGGTGAACTGAAGCTTTTTTCCCAAGCTGCCTGGTAGAAAAAGCTTCACTTGACACCCATCCATCCATCCATCCATCCATCCATCCATCCATCCATGTCTGTCTGTCTGTCTGTCTGTCTGTCTGTCTGTCTGTCTGTCTATCTATCTATCTATCTATCTATCTATCTATCCATCCATCCATCCATCCATCCATCCATCCATCCATCCATCCATCCATCCATCCTCAGCTTAAAAGAGCTTTAAATCACTAAGTATGGACTGGTTTGTAAAAATCACCGTCTACCAGGACTAAGGTCAAATCAGTTTGCATTTTCTCTGCCCGTTTCTCAAAAACCTTTATTCCTCTGCTTAGACATGTCATGAAACTTTCTTTGAGTGATGTTCTGAAG